AAACTTTGTTCGCAGTTTAGGAAATGTTATGGAATTTTGGCGTTTGTATGCAGTTTTTCTAATGCACAATAAAAAAAATGCGAATGGAAACACAGCACAAGTGTTCAAATTTTATCGTCATGGCTTACCATACCATTAAGTAATCCAACATGTGTTCCTGAAGGAGCACATGTTTAAGCTGTAAACTTGAAAGGTAAGTTCATTTTAAAGACTTATCTGAGCCTGCCAGGCATTGGTGAGACTGACAACGTTGGTACAAAATAATTAACCTCAAGTGTGTATAAGCAACATTTAAAGATAAAAAAAAAATAGTTTTAATTATTATTTTCCAAGAGCTTAAGACTCAAACTCTCTTTGTGTCAGTGTGGTTTGATGAGATTTGACTGGATGTGACCAAACACGTCACCAACAGTCATCTGATTTTCATTCAACTACTGATTATGACATGGAAGTAAATGGCATCGTCCCTTTCCCCAGCTGAGCCTCGCCCACTCCCAACCAGTACGGAAATCTTGAAGAAAAACACAAAATACAGAAATGTCTCTTGTGAAATACTAATGACTAAATAACTTTGGCAGAAATGTGTGTGTTCATCTACCGATCCATCTACGGGACACGCATAAATCATTTTTGATGACACTCAATGTCAGAAATTGACAGTTATTTGGCCACATTTATCCCAAATGTTGTGTAGTTCTTCAAAAACAAATACAAACCTTTGATTCGATTACACATTTCTGTATTATACATTAATATTGCGGGACCACATAAACACTTAGAGTCCGAGCAGTGTGACAATGTCTCATTGTGTTTACGATCCATTTGTCCACTCCACAGTTGCACTGCTTGTTGTTATTTCTGGATACTCCCACAGTTAAATCCTTTTCCAGTGACTCCATTTGAACTGCTGTCAGAGAGAGAGAGTCGTTTGCTCTTGATTATTTTCAGAACTCTTATCTAAACCAGAACCGGTGGAGTAACACGAGGCACATTTGTCTTCGACTGAGACAAACCACAAACAGTTCCCCCCCCCAAAAAGAAACAAACCCCCTTTTTGAACTCGCATCCAAGTCGCATTCATGAGTACATGAGGGACAGATCTATCAAGAGCACTCACACAAAGAGGCAACACACTGTGGTCCAAGGTCAGCTGGCTTGCAGTCACGAAAAACAAAAAAAGAGGTTTGGTTGCCTAATGATTTTCCTTCATCAATTTGTGCAGCTGGGAGCCGTCTGAGGGGAAGGATGAAAGAGCGGAAGCTCCTGGCTGTGAAGTGGAAACCAAAATTCCCAGATCGCTGCGGTCTGGTCTGCTTTTCTAGAAGCCCACGAACTCAGAGAGTTATGAAGCACTATGTGTTTTCATTTTCATCAAATGCCGAGCATGCACGAATTCTTGTTCGTACACCTGTTGCCATAGATACTGGCTCTCTTATATCGTCAAACATTTTCTGTCTCAAATCCTGGTGATATAATCTGCAGTATTTTAAATATTATCACTCAAGGCTGAAGTTGTTCTCATTCTTCCTTCCCTTTTTTTTTTTTTTCTCCTTTCTTTCTTTACAGCACCTCGTTCTGTTTCGTCACAATCCTGACCCTCGAATCTTTAATCAGCCTCCTCAGAGCACCGGGGGAAAAACCAAAGTCATGGAGCTGCGGTCGCTGCCAGGACGTAATTATTAAAGAGCAATCGAATCACTCACGGTCATGGGAGTGCCCTTTGAACCAATCATTTGTTCTGTGAGATTCTCTAAACTGGAATGGCATGATGTAGGCGACCTGTGTGACCACATACACAGTCAACTTGTTTATGTGACGTCGCACACAGCAACTAAAGGGTTGCTTCACTGTGCTATTCACAACGCCACAATTGCTCATTCATCTATACATGTCTCTGAACAATGGACTTTTGGCGGCCTTCCTGTTGTTTCCTGATAGCAAAGACGAAATGGTAACATTAGTCAGTGTGATGTATGTCCTCAGCATCCACAAAACAGTTGATAAACCAAATCTATGGAAATTCATATATACATACATATATACATACATACATATATATATATATATACATACATACATATATACATACATATATACATATATACATATATACATATATACATATACATATATATATACATACATATATACATACATATATACATACATATATACATACATATATACATACATATATACATACATATATACATATATATATACATACATATATACATATATATATATACATATATACATATATATATATACATATATACATATATATATATACATATATACATATATATACATATATACATATATATATATACATATATACATATATATACATATATACATATATATACATATATACATATATACATATATATATACATACATATATATATACATACATATATATATACAGACATACATATATATATACAGACATACATATATATATACAGACATACAGACATACATACATACACATATACATACATACATACACATATATACATACATACATACACATACATACACATACATACACATATATACATACATACATACATACATACATACATACATACATACATACATATATACATACATATATACATACATATATACATACATA